AGACAAGGTCTCTGTATGTGGCTCAGGCTGGCCTTGAACTTCCACCCATCCTCCTCCCTCAGCATTCCCAGCGCTGGAGTTACAGGCGTGTGCACATTTTGAATTCTTGAAATTTAAGCCCGTGTTGTATCTTTTCTCTATAATCTGCTATTATCTCTGTTTTGTTTTAGTTTTTGCAGTACTGAGGACTGAACCCATGGGCATTCCCACTGAGTTGTATCAGTAGCCCTTTATATTTTTTACTTACTTATTTTTTATATTTTAGGACAGGAGGTTGCTAAGTCACTGAGTTGTACAGGCTTGGTTTAAACTTGCCATCTTCCTGCCTCAGCCTCTCAGAGTGCTGGGGTTACAGACATGTGCTACCACACCTGGCCCTTCATTGGTATAAAGCTCTACTTCTATCCAACGACGCTGTATCTATTCAGCATGCAGCTACATTTCACGTGGCCCTCCCTAAGAGTATATGGGGGTGGTTCAAGGTGGGGCTACATGCAGATGTGGACTGCCAGCCTCCATAATTCTACAGTCAATTCTGTACAATAACTTTATATATACGCCCTATTGATTTTCTTTCCTAGGAAATCCTAACACATTCAAGTCTTATCAAGCCCTATGTGGACATCCATGTATCCCCAACCTAGTGAATTATAAAGGCAAAGAGTTTGTCCAAGACACAAAAGGTGTATGTGGCCTTTGCTAAAGAATTCAGCATCTTAAAAGATGGGCAATGTGGTACACACCTATAATCCCAGCATTTGGGAAACTGAGGCAGGATGATCACCACAAGTTAAAGGCCAATCTGGCCTACAAAGTGAGTTCAAGGCCAGCCTAAACTATACAGAAAAGACCCTGTCACAAAAAGACAAGGAAAAAAACAAAACAAACAAAAGCAAGAATTCATGTTGTGCAATTTTTAATGGGATAACCTAGAGATTTTAATGTTCTGCTTTCATTAACACAAACAATACATTTTTAGAACATGTACAGTGGGCTTCTATCCTAGAAATTCAAAAAATCCACTAACCACTGACCCTATTTGTCTAAGCTTAATAACTAATTCTCTAAATCAGCTGTAGATAATTATCATAACCAACCAATTAACTTATTCTTGGTCAGCGCCCAGGACCTAGGTGTTTTAGGACATATCTGTTCTTATGGTGCTTACAACTGCTCAAAAATTTAAACACTATCAGAGAATGTACATGATAAAGCAAGACAAATTAATTCTACAAATACAAACAAAACAGCATATGATGAAGAATCAGACGGAGGGAGAACTTCATTTCTAGCAGAGGAAAGCATATGAGAGCCTCCTGAAGTTGATTTTCCATGTGGATGAGCAAAGGAGGGCTGCAAAGCCAGTCACTGCACCGGGCAGAGTCAGAAATGACCAGCAAACAAGGAACAAAACCGCTGAGCCAGAGCACGGATTCCTGTAGAGTCTACACGCCTTCTGACACTGACACGAAAAATGAAAGGGATCTAGTCTCCCCATACTGACTAATAAGATGTCACAAGACCATGGGATTCTTTTTCATTTATTTGTAGTAAAATTCAATCACAGTTTGTCAACAACCAATGTGGAAATCATACTGCAGTACCTTAAAAGGGTTATATATATATTTCCCCTGTTTTTAAAACTCCACATATCGAACGGTTCCACAAAAACCCAAAAGCTAACATTGAGGAGAAGCAAACTCTACCCTGCCGATTCCAGAGTGAGACAACCTGAGTTCATTCCTGGTTGCGAGATTTACGGCACCAGAAATTTAATTCTTTTTGTCATGCTTTAATTAGGAAAATATTACCAACAAAAGCATGGGTATCGGAAAGATTAAATAATTACCATAAAGAGCTCAGCACAATAACGGATGAATAAATGTCAGCCACTGATAGAACTGCAACTTTATAAGCAATGTTAAATATGAAAAGCCTGAGTGTAGCACCTGATTAACAGGGTACACTTCCTTCAGAAAAAGAACAAGACATACCCTGGGGCCTGTCCCATGGGTGACAGTGGATAGAGCACACATCACCTTCCTTCCTTCCCTTCTAGCCTTCAGAAAAAAGAATAATCTAACATTTCACAGACTACAATCTAAAACAAAGGAAATATTGGAACAGTAAAAGCCTGTTATGGAGATTTTCATGAGTCTCACTGTGTGCCAGAAATTGGCAGAAAGAAGCTGGAAGTGGTGGCACATACCTGTAAACTCGCACTCAGGAACGCTTACGCAGGAGGATCCCAACTTCAAGCCTAGCCTAGGCAATTTAGTAAGATCCTATCTCAAAATAAAAGCTAAAGAGGGCTGGGCATGTAGCTCAGGTCAAAGGCCCTGGGTTCAATCCCCAATGGCTACAAACAAACAAACAAGGAAGTAAGCAATTAGGAAAGTTCCATGTATACTCAGAACTCAGGCATACTTCTTGCTTTGGCATAGTACTATGGAGTGCAGTAGCCCTTGTATCTCTAATGAGATGCTCTATTTAAAACTGCTGAAAAATTCATAGCAAATCATCAGTTTCCTCAACAGGCTTGACTACATGTTTAGAAAGAACATGCTAATCTTTACTCTTCTTATCATCATTTCCCAACTCAGTTTGAGATTTTAAAAGATGTAGTAGGTACATTAAATTCTATGCTATTAAGATTCTAAACCACAGGGGCTGGGGACTTGGCTTGGCAGCACAGCACCTGCCTGGCAAGTGCAAGGTCATGAGTTTGATTCCCGTTACTGGAAAAAAAACAGAAACAAAAACAAACAAACAAAAAGATTCTAAACCACAAAGAAATGGCATTTTTCCTCCAAGAACTGCATTGAAGATACTTCATCTGTTAGTATTTATCTTGCAATTGTTTCAGGGTATAGTTACTACTATTTTTTTTTTTTTTAAAAAAAGGTTTAATATATAAAAATATCTATCTTTCTTGCCTCAAAATGGTATTACATCTTGATAAACCCACTGTAAGATAAAAATATTGTAAATCAAAAGTGTATTTAACTCACCTAACCCACCAAAAATCACAGTCCACACTGGCCTACCCAAAATGTGTTCAGAACACTTATATTGGCACACACTGAGGCAGAGTCACCTGACACAACATCTATTATTAATAAAGTATGGGATATCTCCTGTAATTTCACACACTACACAGCAAGTGAAAAACAGAATGGTTCGTATGTGTATGCTTCTGCACCATCACAGAACTAACAGACAGTAAGTGTAGCCAATGTAAGTCAATGTTTCCTGTGTGTGAGTGTGAGTGTATGCAAATCCGCCAATCTATTCCCATCATGCTCACAGGTAGCAACTACCAAAAATTAACACAGAAATTGTCATACAATATCTTTCAAGATTTTTAGTTCCCTGTTAGGCTGAAATGAACTTAACCACTGAATTTGATTAGGCTCTTGTCCAACTCAACTGAAGACCAGAATTGTGGAAAGAATTAAGTTCGTGAACCAAGGCACCACTGTGCAGTGAGAAAAAGAAATCTAACTTTCACAAGGGAATGGTAGGTGGCAGGGTATAGCTGAGTGGTAGATTGTATGCTTGCTATTCTTATCACCGGAAAATTAAGTAAATAAACACATAAACAAATAAATTTTAAAAGGAAATGATGTGTTATTCTAAATACCAAGTAAACCATGTTATACCACTAATTTAAAATACCATCTGTAATATACATGCACACATCCTGTCATACCATGTCCTTTTCTAATCTGTTTTAAATGAATTAGTTGTTTATTGCTATAGCAATACCATCCTGGTTTAAGTACTGTAGCTTTGCTCTATACTTTGCTACAATAATTGCCTTTGAAAATATAAACTGCTCTTGTACTCCATTTTCTTCAGAATCTTTCCAGTTCCTCCCCACTACCCAACCTACATCCACAAATACCACTGTGTTATGATTAGATATTACTGAGCCATTTATTTCACAAAACTTCAAGCTTATGATTGTCTATAACTCATAGTTGTTAATGTGTAATACTCTCAAGGTGGTTTAGTGAGGTTCCTTTGAGGTGTGACACACCATCCGATACTAGAATGATGGGATATTTGACAATAATGCTGTTTAATAGTTCATGAATCTATATAAAAATGAAACCTGCTAGTTATGTTATAGAAATACCTTCTATTTTCACTTGTTTTGTTTACTTGATAATTTTTGGAAAGACATGTACTAATGTTACCCACTATGGATATGGCTTTGTGAGATTTTCTTTCTATTTGGAACAGTTTGGGAATATGTTTTATGCTACACTGTTTGATGTACAAACGATCCTGAGCATTAGAATTTCCAGCACATGATCTTAACAGCAACACAAGATGCCCAAGGGACCTTTATTGCCGAAGGGACCTTCACAGAGACTGACAGTCATCAACCCTGACCCTAGAGTCAGTGCTTCCTGCCGACACTCACAGTTCCACTCCACAGCCTGACTTCTTCTACGTCCAGTCCGAACTGGGATTCATCTTCTGAACAGAACCCAGTATGTCTGTACTGTAATCTGGGCTGAGGGAAATTATCCCTTTTATTGTCATTATGACCACTGTGTTTAGCCTAGTTACTGACATGCCATTTTAATTTTCCTGTTTATAATATTGTATCATTGTACTCACTTTGCCCTCGCTTTCTTCTGTGCCAGATGCAAGGGTTTTTTCAAATCCAGTTTTTCCCATTTTACAGCAGCGTACGGCATTTCACAACTCATGCAACAAGTTGCATATGTGTCAAAATACTAACCTCACCAAGTTTTGGCCCCGTATACAATTAATAGCAAATTACTCTAATGTCTCTCTTTGTTACACATGTCTGACGAAAAATAATAACAAAATATACTCCACTTAGGGTAGTCAAACTAAGTCTTTTTAAAATAAGATCACTCTGGGCAAAAGGCAGGACAAATAACTTCATATTTAGTTAGTAAGAAGTTAGTTTCATTTATCTTTTAAGCAACTCTGCATCCTGCAAAAGACAAAGCTCTTACCGTTTCTTTTGGAATCTGCATCTGGCTTGGCTCTGCATTCTAGAAGAATTGAAGAAAAATATAAATACAGACTGACCAAAGCCATCTACAACACACAGGGACACAACGTTGTGTTTTCAAGGAACTTTTGTTGGTTCTTAAAATCCACAAAGTAGATGAGGGTGGGTTCTATGAGGGCGGATGTACAACCCTGTCTTCCAGATGTCCACTGATGTGTGTGGTAATCACGCATGGGTTTCCAGAAGTTTTTCAAGATATCAGTTAGTGTCTGCTCATTCACAATGCACCATGAACTTATTTGTAGGAGAACAAATCTCACCGAACTGCTTTCCTAGTCGTGGCACTGTTTCTGATTTTGTTTTCACTTTTCCCAGCCAAATCTAAGTTTTGATGTATAGAAGCATTTGACCGCTAGACAGATAATAACCAGTCTGAGCCACAGTCTGCACCACAGGTTTTAGACTTTAAAATATTACACAGGGAATAAATGTGGTATGTTTCCCGTATCATATGAGTACTTACAACATTGGTATGTCGGTTGACTCTTCTTTCAAAAAGGCACAGATTGATAAAACGTATCTAGATTAAGACCCACAGAACTGAAACACAGACACCCCCAACAGAGAAAAAGAGTTCTAATTCTAATTGGATTTAAAGATCATTTTTAAATGTCCCCTTCAACGTAACTTTTTGGAATTTTGCTCTTTTAAATCTTGACAAGCAACTGCATTCTGTATAACAGACTGATGGCCTACTGGCTCTCCTTAATGAGAAGCTCACGAGCAATAAATTAAATAACCAAGAAAAAGAGAAGACAAAAATGAAAGGAGGCAGCAGACGGGGAAGACAGAAGCCAGGAAGATCAAAATTGGAGCAGAAGAACCTGAGTAACCTTGGGCGTGCTCCGTGCTGGCAGCAGCTCAGGACGGCTGCTGAAGAAAGCGAGCAAGCACGCTGGCAATCTAACCCCAACCATCGGGCCCAGGCGCCCAGGAAGAATTAGAGCCTCATCAAATCACAGGGAAAGCTGAGCTGTTGTTTGGGTAAGTGCTCATTTACAATTTAATAGAGACATCTCCAGATTTAGGATCAGGTGGCATTTTAAGCACAAAATTGGATGGCAGTGGGGGGAGATGGAAAACTGAATCTAAATTGAGAAATAATGCATTAAACATTTTTTAAATATAAAGAAGTTTCATAATATATTCGAAATCAAACCTAAAACACAAGTGTGCACTTTTCAACCCTATCTCAGCCTGAAATTTCCACAAAATGACATAGTTTTAGATTTGTGTGTGACTAAGGGATGACTCAGTTGTGACTACAAGATTTTTTTTTGTGACTAAAAGTTTTTTTTACTTTGAAATGAGCATTTATATCAATATATCTAATTTGTGTAAATATTTTATTGAGAAAAAAAAATTTTGCCAACATGACACATCGATAATTGAAGATATCACCCAAGAGAATTAGGTTTAGTCAACTAACTTGGGGATTGCACCCCTAAGACCTTGCCACTCTAGCTTGCACCAATTAATTGTTGTCTAGATAAAGCTCAAAGCTAGCCAAAAGAGATGTCAAATGCTCTGACATGACTCAAGAAGAGTCTGTTTGGAAATATTTAAAGTACCACTTCTATTTCAAGCAACTCTACTTTCCAACCACATCAAAAGATGAAGTTGATTCCGATTATGTCATTTTTATAAATAAATGGAACTTACTGCTTACTGCAGGAAAATCTTCAGAATGACATAAATTTAATGTACATGTTTCATTCACACTGATGTCACACAACTGCTCCTAACAGACTTACTGATGTAAGCATAGAAAGTAAAGTAGATAAGTTGCAAATAAATGATCTTCCCTTCTGTTTATGTCTCTCCAAACAATACTACCTATCCTGGGGATTAACATCCATGGGCTTCTTGCCACCTAGGTCTCAACTGCAGGGTGCTTTGAAAGGTACTCCTTTCCATATAACAGTAAGCAAGCATCTTTATTTGGCTTCGCCACACCCACTAAGAAAACATGAAAATGTGTCGTATGAGAGAAAAGATGGCATGGCTTCCGTGACAGCCTGCAGAGTGACAGTCATGAAATAACTGACGTCTTGCACTCAGTGAGCTCCTCTGAGAGTGTACAGTGATAAGCATTTGACATCCCAGAAAACATCCCTACAATCTGAGGGCATCTGTGTCTAAAGTGGACAGCAGGAGAGACAAAAGTGCTTGCACTGAATTAGGGCTGAAAGAAACACACAATACAGAAACTCTGGAAACTCTCCCTACACATTCGCCATGGAGCTAACCCAATCCCTGGGCCATGTGCATCAGGAATCTTTCATGTACTCTGAATTACACACCAGTTCCCTCGGGTGAAAGGCGGCATCTTCCTGGCGAAAGACCAGAAGGCTCACAGTCCCCTCCATCTTGGTGCTTCTCAGCAGGGAGACCACTTCCTCCTGGGATTTGCCTGCCAAGTCCACTCCGTTCACCTGAAACCAGAAAATGTTTTCAGTTGTCATGCTGTGCAAACAGACAGCAGAAAAGACACTCAGTGTCAGACTGACCATTTCTGTCATGGGGCATAGCTCCTTTCAGGCTGGACTCTGTCATTAGCTGGGAGCCACTAAGTAGTAGCTGGACAAACAACCCACAACAAACCTTAGACTGGATATCTGGAAGCAAACTAGCAAGTAATAAATCTTTGAGTGTTCATCAATAAACCAAAAGCTGCAACAGGCAGGGCATTCACAAGGAACAAATACACCTACAATGTCAAATGGACACAAAACTCACTGGTTCAAAATGAGTTTTTCTGTTTGCTTATTCTGTGGTTTGGTTGTTTTTGATAGTACTAGGATGGGAGCTCATGATAGAGCACTTGCCCCAGCAACATACATGGAAGGGAGGAGGGAAGGGAAGGAGGGAGGCAGGGAGAAAGAGAAAAGAAGAGAGAGAGAGAGAGAGAGAGAGAGAGAGAGAGAAACAGATAGAGACAGAGGAGACAGAAACAGAGATAGGAAGGGACAGGGAGGCGGGAGAGAAAACAGACTATGTTTACAAAGAAAACACTAGGAAAAATAGCTAATTATACTCCTTCTCTCTCTTTCTCAATGTCCCTCCCTTTTGTTTCCCTGTATACATACATCTTCCCACAAACAGAGAGTACGTGGTATATATTTCCAAGATGGCTGCAAACACGAGCAAACTGAAAATCATGAAGTACTGAAAGGAAATTTTCAAAAACATTTTCTTTTTTCTGACATTTTTGAGGTCTCAATGTGTTCTCTGTGCTGTCATGTGAAACTTGCTCCTTTCTTCAAGATGTACTGTTTTTATTGACTTCATTTCACTTCGTTCTGATAACAAGGTCGATAACATTTCTATGTCGCCAGACATAAATATAAAGCCAACTAGAAATATAGCCTTATATATATGGTCTTCTCTAATGACAAAACCATTACCTTACCTCATAAACCAATGTCTGAGTAACTAAAAGTTGTAAGTAACCCAGATGAAAAGGTAATTTCTCATCAGATAATGTGATAAAACCAAATAGAAGAGAAACATTACTTCGTGGTACATACTTCTGCTCAAATATATACTTTAATTTCCTGTTTTATGAACATGATTAAAAATCTGACCCCTGAAAATGGGCCATTTCAGGAGCTGTGGCGCCCTGGAGGTGGAGAGTCCCTCACCTCTATTAGCCTGTCTCCGGCCTTCAGCCGGCCGTCCTGGATGGCCGCCCCTCGGGGGAGAATGTTCTTCACATAAATCGGAGCTGAGCCACCAATTGTCACATCTCGGGAAGTGATGCTGAACCCCAAGCCTTCCGTACCTAAATATGTAACAAAAAATATAACTAAATAAAATGAGATATCTCAAATTTTACACATTTGTCATACATAAATATCATTTTTTGCCTCAATTTGACATTTTATAAATTTAACAATGGCCCATATTCTTCTACTTAAAACGTTATAAAAATGTGTGTGTGGGGGGGGTTCAAGACAGGGTCTAGCTATGTAACTCAGGTTGGCCTCAAAGTCACTATGATCTCTTGCCTCAGCTTCCCAATTGCTGGGATTACAAGGATGCACCACCACACGCAGGATGTAGTAAACTTTTCAGAAAGTAGATTAAATCACGGGAGGTTTAAGTGGTTTATCTATCAAAAGTCATTACTCTAAGAAGAATAGAAATCTCACACATGAACGCAACAGATAATAGTTAATATACAATTGTGCTTTCTAAAAGTTTTCAAATCAACCTAAATTTTGAGTATTAAATAAGATTCATTAGTCTACATGAAAAGAAAAAAGAAACTTCTATTAAAACTCATGTTATCTCAAATATCAAATTCTTTGCATAACAATGGTCTACAAATTTGAGGGACAGAGGTGAGAGGATGGAGAGGAAAATACTCAGAGATGAGAAAGATTTCTACCCAGGCTGCAGACCCCAATCTCCCTGTTCACTCCTCTTCCCATTAACCTAAATCTTACCATGTGTAGCCGCCCATCCACACCACGACAAAAACTGCAAACTGCTCAATGAAGAATCCATCTCAGATTATAACTACCAAATCTGAGGGCCACCCTATTATGTTTAAACGTATTGGAATTAATGAGGCATTTATAAATTACTCTCTTGATTTCTATAATTTTAATTCTCAGTTTCTTGGCAGCTTTCTTGACAAGCAATCTTGTAAGCTCAATACAGTGTAAAAAGAGGGTCATATGTCACTAGATACAACATGCAATAAGCCAAAATGTGCCAAGAAATAAATGTGGAGATAATGACAAATTTCTAATGAATCAGAGAATTTTTGTAACACTTTTAATAACGAGCAATTTCTACCTCAGCTTTTAAAAAAACTTACTTCTTAAGATACTACATTCCATTTCAGTTAAAACACTGTAAGGGCAAACACTTGCTCATTATGGGAGGAACAAAGGGATGTGTAAAGGGGAAAGCTCTAGAAAAGAGCTATATTAATTGGATGCAGCACTCCGTGTAAAACTATAACAAAAGGTGTAACACACACATGAATAAACAAGGAAGAGCAAAGAAAAATATGGATTCACAAAGAAACACAGAGCAGAAATGAACACTCCATTGTACCTACAACAAAACCAACCATCAATATTCTCAAGTTCAAACAAAACATCCATTTACGTCTACTCTGAAGTCACTTGAATGTGCCTGGACTGCTGAGGTCTTAGAGTTCTGTGCTGAAGACTTGAATGGCATATCCGCTATATGAAATTTTCCTAATTGCTCTGCTGGGACGTTTCCATATGTCTCTGTGCCTTCACGGAACTCTAATGACTTGCAATAACATTTATTAAGAAAGAATGCTAAATTATTCTCCTTTTGCAATATTAATTTGTATGAACTACAAAGACTGACTGTGATATGAGCCTCAATACTATTAAAATATCAGCAATAACCCCTAAATCTGTAAGCTAAAAGTTCAGGCAATGACCTTTAAAAGAAAGATAAATAGATATCAATTTTCATTTAGCAGAGCCAACAAAACATTTTGCACTGACTGAAACAGATCGCTGACCTTCTCCTCTGACTTTATTAAAAAGCTAATTTCTACAAAAGAGCAGAGTATTTCAGAACGCCAAAAAGGCAATAAATATTGAAAAATCTTAATTATGGAAGCAAGTACATTATGGCTATTCTACTTTGTCATGTGATAGGACACAGGTCCCAAATTATGCCAGAGTCATTATCCTGAAGGCTTCTCTTATTCGTACTGAGTTGGTCACAGCTTTTAAATAATTGCTGTCATTCAAAGCATATTAGTTCACTCTGAACTGGATTTAAAGTTTACCAGTGACATATACCATTTCAATATATTTCATTAAAAATTGAAAATGTACCAATAATTGGTAAAAATAGAACTGCTAACTACAGTGATGTTTTCTTCAGTTCTCATACACTCATTATTAATAAAATATCTAACCAAAGATGAACAGCAGTAGTCTTCCCACTTATTTGTTGTACACATAACTTACATTCGTATAAAGTATTTGTAACTATAAGTTGTAGGCATAGGCTGAGTGTATTTCAGGTTATACAGTCTCACAATGAGGCAATTCCCATCAAGATAGATCTTTCGGCCTTTATATACACAGTAAGGTAAAGAAAATACTTAAAGCCACCACTTCCACTTTTCTTATATTAATTTTATCCTTTCTAAACTACTTTGTGTAAATGCCATTCCATAGTCCTAAATGCTATTAAAATAAGGCTACTAATTTCAACATTCAAAAAATCACTGTTGCTGGGGATATAGCTCATTGACACAAGCGGTCCTGACTTTGATTCTTGTACCAAAAAAAAAAAAAAATCACTCTTTTTAATGGTAAATAAAATTTCACTTCATTCAGAAAGTTCATTATTATATCACAATTTGCTAGACTTACTTATTGTGCAAAATTGTAATTAACTAAATGCATATTCCTCTATTAGCACAAAAGAAAAGCAACTATTTATGAACTAATATCATTATGACAATGGCCAAGGAAAATACTGTATCTTTGTTAAGAGAGTCAAAACAGAATTTAATTTTTTTATATAACTCTACTTGTGGTCCTGGCCATGTTTCTGGTTAAAAATGAAGTGTCGTCCTGTGAGCAGAGAATGAGGAAGAAGCCCACTTGGGAACTGGGCTTGGGTCTCTGTGGCCAGCCTCATGTTTTCAAGGGGGCGCGGGCAGCTATCACCTCTGCCCATGTCAGCCCAGGACCTGGGGGGGTCACAAGCAGTAACTAGAAAACAGGAACCTGTGGCTCACCCGGAGTTCACAGCAAGATGATTTAGAAAGGAAAGAGCAGCTGCAAGCTTACAATCTCGTAAAGGCGACCTCAAATGGAAAGAAGGATAGGGACTGTGAACGCGAGGCTGGGGGAGATGGTTCAGTACCGATTTGCAGCCAACAGCCATGGGATGTGAGGAAATCCCCCTCCACATTAATTTCCACCCAACCCTAGCAGCTAGGTGAGCTCATAAAAATATTTTGATAATGACATTATTTCAAAAGACATGATTTTAAAATATTTCAAAATGCTCAGCTTGGGCCAGGGATATAGCATGAGGTCCTGAGTTTGATTCCAGGTACCACAAAAATAAAGCCCAGCTTAATGGCTGAGGAAGAGTGTGTCTATCTCCTTGCCTGGATGGAGGGCTGGCTGCAAGACAGCAAGTCTAAGCCTGCTCTGCAGAGGCGGCCCCAGGGAGCCACTTAATGGGACGGGAACATGTAAACACTGTCCTGATGGAACCCAGGGGACCTCACCATTCTCACCCACTTGTCCCATCCCCTCCCAGGAGAACCAATGCAGGACTGTGGAAAAGTGGGAGACAGAGAAACTCGCTCCTCAGCAGCCTGCTGTGGACCACTGACAGCCTCATGGAGCCTCTTGGTCGGCCTGTGGTCACCACGCTGAGTGGGCCGAAGGGCTCCAGTCCTCTTTGAAGGCTGTGTTTGGCCAGGAAGAGGGTCAAACAAATTGTTCTGCCAGGCATGATGGCGTACACCTATAATCCCAGCACTTGGGAGGCTGAGGCAGGTGGATTGTTGAGAGTTTGAGGCCAGCATGAGCTATATAGAAAGACCCTGTCTCAGTCGATCAGTTATCAATCAATGAACTGCTCAATAGCCTCACTGTTGTTTGGGTTGAGTAGTAGTTCTCTGAAACCATCTTTATTCATTATCAAAAATTTTACTGCTCACTGTGATAGTTCATGCTTTTAATTCTAGCTACTTTGAAGGCTGAGGCAGGAGGATCACAAGTTTGAGCCCAACCTGGGCAACTTAGTGAGACCTTGGCTCAAAACAATATTTGAAAAAAGGGCTGGGGTGTAGCTCAGTAGAATGCCCCTAGGTACAATCCCCAGTTAAACACACCCACACACACACACAAAAAGAATTACTACAGTAGTAACTGCTACCTTTTCATAAATTTACATCACAAAGTCTTATTCTTTGAACTTTTAATTTATATATAGAAAAATGAATCTGGAAAGCATAAAAACATAATTTTAAGTATGTCACAAAGCAAGTCTCTAAAAAAATGTGGTTTTTTGTTTTTTTTTTAAAGTCTTTGTATCCGTTCTTTGTTATGTAACAGTTGAAAAAGTCAAAGTGCTGGGCTGGGAGTGTATCTGAGTGGTAGAGCACCTATCCAGCAGGCCAGCACTGCAAAAACCAAAACCAATTAAAAAGGCAAGGTGCTTTTGATTAGTTGGCTGACTTTTTAAAGCAATTCCATCAAACAAAAATGAGCCGGGTCATACCTTTCTTAAGCTGGATATTGAGCCTCTTGCCCACTTTTTTGGTGTTATAACCACTGCTTGCACTCGGGCTAAACACACCGTGTGGGGCCGGGGCCGGGGCTGCGGGTGGCTTTGCCGAGGGGTGCGCGCTGTGAGGTAGTCTCGGGTGAGCATCCACCTGCTCGGGCGGGGGGTTCAGTCTGGACGCTCGGGGCAGCGCGTGAGGCCCGGCACTGGTCACACTCCTGTTGTCCAAATACTGGCTGTCGGGGCTGAAGCGGCTCGAATAGTAGTTGCTCTTCTCACTTTGGGATAGTTGTTCATACTGCTCCTTATTTGCCGCCGGAACCACATGGAACCAAATGGTGGGTGTACGCATGGCTTGGCGAAACATATGTTGTGCTCTGGGTTTGAGAAAGAATGGAAGTTTAGCAAATTAAGGCTGGCAGACTAGAAGATATTATGAGCTTAATTAAGTATACTAATTAAGCAATAAGAACTGACAGACTGGTGAAACTGAAAAGCAAAATTCTGATAACCGGTTTATTAATCAAGTTTGCAAGCTCTGATATTAGCCGCGCGACTTCTTCAAATATAAAATTCTCGTTCCCTAAATAAAAATGGCACATGTATGTACCACTACTGATAAAATACTATGCTCTCACCCAGAATCATAAAACAGCAGTTTTAAGTACACCAAGGGTATTCCAATTTTAATGTTAATATAAATCAAACGCAGCCTTTTCTCTACAATACTCACCAATACAGTTTGCTAGAACTGTAATTTATCCTTAAAAATGGGCCATCTGAGTTTTCAAAAAAGTAAATGTCTTTATAATCATACTTAAAATTGCAGAAAGTGACTGAGGATTCACTACTTATCAGCAAAATTCATTCAAGTCTGGTATGTTAAAAATCTCAAGAACACCAGTCCCTGCAAACCAAAAAAGTGCGGGGTACAGCTCCATGAGGAGCACTCGCAAGGCCCTGGGTTCTACCCCAGGACTCAGGGTAAAAGGTGGGGAGTGGCGGGTGGGGGGCACCAACTGGTCCTCAGGGATTCCAGCAGTCAACAGCCTGGGGTCCCAGGGCCACCCTATGACCAGCCTGAGAGGCAGCTCTCTGCCTCATGCTGCTTCCCAGCAAGTCTTCGCCGCAGGTTCCAAGTTCTGTTCACATCTGGCCGATTTTATACAAACTGGCTGATGTACTTTTCCCTTTTTAATTGAATAAGGGCTTGAGCTAGCATAAAGAAAATCTTAGAGGGGCTGGGGATTTAGCTCAGCGGCAAAGCGCCTGCCTGGCAAGCACAAGGTCGTGAGTTCGGTTCCCGGTACCGGAGAAAAACCAAGACCAAAAAAAAGAAAATCTTAGAAAGACAATATCGTGGCTCAAAGGAGCTTTCTGCTTATTTATACAGAGACATAGGCACAGACACAGACACCTTGGAAATGTGAGCTGCAACAAAATATAAAGCAACATACTGGTGCGTTCTCCAAAAGGTGAGGAGGCAGCGGCCTAAACCCAGCCCGTCATATTTTCCAAAGCGCTCCACCAGTCAGAGGGCACTCAGAAACAGCCTAAGGGGAGTAGTTAGTCATTAACACTGAGTTGGACTAAAATTTTAAAAGCCAGACAGTGGCAGAAAATGCTTCGCTCCAGTACACCAAGATCACATAGGTCGGTGACACCTGGATGGGCTGCCCCACCACACCGGACGCACACACTTACTGTTCAAATCTTCTGTTCCGGAGGTCGTGATCATTAATCCTTACAATGCAGTCATTCTCATGAAAAAGGTTTTCTTGCTCAGCTTTACCACCCTTCTCCAAGCGTTTTACTAATAACCCCAGGGTCCTGGAACATTAAGAATGCAAATGATTATACATGGAATATTGCCACCGAGCACCACGCCCTATTGCTTTACTGCTGGTGTTGTATTTACATAGACACCCTTATAAAGGGGGTATTAAGTCACTATTAATACGCTTTAAAATTAACACCACATTACAGAGCCTAAATGATGTACAGAAATGGACCCTTTCAATAAATCTAAGGCATCATTTTCCGCATCGTCAACATCACATTTTGGAAATAGTGCATACTACTCCCTACAACAAGGCTGCCAAGAGCTTGCCTGTGTCAGCGGGCGAGTACGCACTTGTGCGAAGCTCTGGCCATTTCCTGTGTTACCTCAGCCAGGACACTGTTGATAGCAACCCCTGCTTCTCTGCTAATGTAAAGGTAACAAGCAAGAACTAACCTCATTGCCTTGTACGATAACAGAAGCATAATAAGGAAAATTTCAGAAACAGAGGCATCTCTGTGCTTGGCATTCAAATTTAATAGGACCCATTATTCTGAATTTCAAAAAATGTCAGTTCTCCCAAGGAAGGTAAATAACTTGTTGCCAGTATTTCCATTTGAGGTAAATGAGAGAAAGTCAGGGAGGAGCTCTGAAAATGCCAGTCGCCATCCATCTCTTCCTATGTGGGCTCAAAGCTTAGGGTGAAAGAAGGGTTTAAAGGAACTTCTTAGAGACTCAGAGGAAAAGAGTAAAAATTGCTACTGTACTTGCTCTAGAACACTAACTTCTTCATTGACAGGGACTTCTATGTATCCTGAGTTTACAGTAAAAAGTCTTGAGAGGGAGAAGCAATGAGTCTTCAGTTAGTCTGGCTGCTATTCCTTACTGGGTGGTTGGCATAAATGTTGCATCATGATTACATGCAACATTTTAGATGAAATTATTTTTGACACATCCAAAGTTTGTGTTTTATTTCACAATCCTACTTATGACACCAAAACAATGCCTAGGTGCTAGAATTTAGAACCTTACATATATACAGTTTCCGTCTATTTTCCAACAGAATTACAACTTGCAGTATACTATGTATGCTTTCCAGTCAAAATATACCCAAGTAGATAGTTCTCTATTTTAAGTTTTGGCAGTAATTATTGCTTCACTCTACAACCATTTATCTTATTCTCCTGTTATAAATAGGCTGTATCTCTAAGGCTGCACAGTAAGGTTCTGGAAGACAAAGATGGGATTCTAGGATATGCATTCAAGTACTTAGCTACTAGTGAGGTCTGACAAATGACAACTGAATGACTGTATGACTGAGTCGAGCTGAGGCAAAAACAAAGTCTCATATTTCTAAAAAGTTCTTTGCAATGTAGAATACAAACGAGCAGAATTTAGATTCAGTTTTTTTTCCACTAAAGATACCATTTATATACAGATGCCAGTGAACTGTAATGAGCTAAAGCAAAAGTCCTGTTTCACTTCTTCGTTTGCAGTTTATGCTTGTTTCTTCTGTGAATATTTCTAAAAATCATTAAGTTCATCTCAAAGTTTGTTATTAAATATGACAAAGAGGCATTACGCTAGGGTCAAGACCACCAACTCGAAAGAAAAACAAGCAGAGATGGTACTTAAATTGTCTTTTGCAATTTTGCCAGTTGAGCATGAACACCTATTAGTGTTGGCATTTAAAAATATTAGGGAGTGATCAAAAAGAAACTTACTGGCATCTATTCCAGTTATAACTGCAAAAATTAAGTAAACTCCAAAGAATAAAGTACACTGACTTAGCTGCATGATAAACTTCACTGCCTCAGTCCGTATTTGGAAGGAAGAGATTAATTAGACTAAACTGTCATCCCGTTACAATCTAGCTCCCCAGGATTCGCTACTGCTCAAGTTTGTTTCCATCTGCAGTTGAACAGTGTTTTGTCAGAGCAATCGAATTATTAAACATATATCTATGATGCTGGCAAGTGGGCAAGGCTTACAAGGAAAATCAAAACAAGTCACAGTCACTGATACCACCAGAATGCTGAGACGTCACCTGACAACTTGCCCTTCAAAGCAGCCAGGAAAAGGACAGCTTGAAAGCAAGGACGTCTCCATCCCTGGGGTGATCAAAACCTGACGCCTACTGCTAAACACTACCTCTGTACACCATGGACACCTCTTGTGTGCAATTTAAGCCTCTGCAGTAAAAGTAGGCTTGCGGGGGTGGGCAGGAGGGGACACCAATGATCCCAGCACTCTGAGAGGCTGAGGCAGGAGCATCACAACTTTGGGCCCAGCCTTCCCAACACAGCAATTAGTGAGATCCTGCCTCAAAATAAAAACATAGCTCAGTGTTGAGGCCTTGGCTGTCATTCTAAGTACCAGGAAAAAAAAAAAAAAAAAAAGGAAAGGAAAAGGGTACTCTACCAAGACAGATTTCAGCTAATTAGTTCTTGATTGGCCAAAGCATAAGTGATTTCTCAATATGGTTATAACATTCTGTTCAATCTAAAATGACCAGTAATTTGTATGTTTGTGTACATATTTTAAAATATTTTGTGTAATTTATAACAGTTCACAGAACATTTCTAGAGAAATATTTATTAACTATATTTAATAAAATTTATTTAGCACTTAACTAGTACTGGTAATCTGCATACATTTGTGAATTTATTTCCACAGATTTTTAAAGTACCTAACAGTTTAAAATAGTACTGTACACCTGCCAGGTGTGACAGAACACACCTTCTGCCCGGGTTACTTGAGAGACTGAGGCAGGAGTCTCAATTAAGAAGTCTGAGACCACACCTCATCTCTGAATGGATGAATGAATGAATGAAATTAGTGTGACTTAGATATCTACTCTTATTTAACAAGTGAAATCATGCTTTTAGATAAATAGGTCAAGACATTTACATTCATCTAGGTAACAATTACTTTTCCTGGTAATCATTCTAGAACAATAATCCAAGTCAGAATGACTGTCTTTCTGAATAAGCCCTCCTTTATGGCCAAATACACCAGTAATCCTAACGCACAATAAAAATGTTACAAATCATAAGTGCACTATCACATTTATAGGAAATACAAGGGAAAGGCACGCTTCAAGGCTTGTGTGTCCTACACTTCTTTCCTGCAATCTGGAAAGGAGGGCGCTCCAGTCAGCGGTCGGAATCAAGGAACAGGCTGGATTAGCATGAAGTTAGTAGCCTGCTGATTTCTAAGTACTTGGCCACACTATTAGAATCACTCCCTCAAAAAGAATGAATTGATTTAAGAGTAAAGTGGTGCAATCTGCAAAAATTATCTCCTTTGCTCCACTAGGTGAAAATGATTACAAAAGGAGTAAGAACGAATGATCAAAAAAAAAAAAAAAAAAAAAAAACCTCACAAGAAAATTGAGCTGTACCAGCTGGACAGGGAATGAGAGGAATCTCTCCAGGGAAATGGACTGGAAGCAGTGACAGCAGACCCTGTCCCCTTCCTGGAAGATGTGTAGGTACAAGCAGATGTATCTACAAACTTGCCACTTGCGATGTAAAGCTTTCTGAAAGCAAAAGCAAATGTTCACTTGGCAAACCTAAAGCAGCAGCTAGAGTTTGTCCTAAAATCATAGGGCACCTAGCAGCTACAGTGTGGTGGCCCCCACAATCCCCACATCAGTCAGTCACCGGAGCCTGTGTGCTTGGATACCTCTGTATGTCAACGTGCTGCTACAGAGACACTGCTCTGAACAGCTACTGCCAGAATTCCTTACGGGGGCATCCACGTTCCCTCAGAAGAAGACACCTCTGTTCACAGAGCCGAAAGGGAAGCAGGAGGGGCTGGGGGAGCTGGGGATTAGGCCAGAGTCAGAAGCACCCAGAATGGCTGTGGTGACAGACACTGTTTAAGGGGCCTGGGAGAGCCATGAAGAAATGCCTGCAAGGCTGGGTGTGCATAAAACAGTGCCTATTCCACCTCCCTCATGAATTCATTGTAAACCCTGCTTTCCAGCATACAGAGCTTTTCCTTATTGAATTGAGACAGCCCTCAAACCTGCACCTCCACTGTTTTCTATAGCCTTTATACATTTTAGAGAGAGGGGAAAAAAAATTAGGTCCAACCAGTACCATCTCACTTTTAAATAATTTCCCTGAAACAAAACAAAAAAATATGCAATTACACATTTCTTTCAATCCCTTCTTCACAGTTTTTTTTTTAAATGGGGGGTGGGGCCCTCCCAAGCAAAACAAGCCATTGAAACACTGCCTCTATGTACATGATTTTGGCTGCCTAATTAGAAATTTAACTGCTTACATTATATTAAGGATTGCACCACTACATTTTTACAAGGTTCATTAGCCTAATTATACACTTAATTAAAACAAACTCAGTCACACATGTTAACATTTTCAATTCTGAGTATAAATTACAACCAATGATAAAACTGAAAATAAGTAACAAATGTTTTATTGACATCTAAATTGGCTGAGTTAGTCTGAGTTTTGCTTTGATAATGTAAACTCCCACAACTGCTACCCAGCTGTATGGAAATGATCACAATTCATCTTAATAAAAGCTGACAGGGTACAAATACCACAACCACAGTGCAGGCAGAGCGTGAGTGGGCAGAATGGGGTCTCACCAACAGGCACCTGTCACCTCCCCAGTGCAATACATGGGCCCAGAATTACCCACAGGAGCCCCGAAACCATAGCCACAACTCAGGAGACAGCCCCAGAGCAGAGCTTAAAGGCCTCAAGTGAAAACAGAAAGGCTGATTTGAAAAGAATGTTTGGGCTGAGGATGTAGCTCAGTGGTAGAGCCCTTGCTAGCTTGTGAGAAAGCCTTGCTTGGACCCCTAAAACTGCAAAAAAGAAAAAAAAATTTAAAAATGTCTTTGTTTTTTTTTTTTTTTTCCCAGTACTGGGAATTGAACTCACGACCTTGCACTTGCCAGGCAGGTGCTGGGCCACTGAGCTAAATCCCCAGCCCCAAAAATCTTAAAAAAGAAAAAAAAATGTTAATGGATGCAATGAAGTAGGTCGAAAAAGGTAAATAAAACCAGAGACAT